AAAAAAATGGCAATAGAGCCCACATGTTAATGCTATGTGTGCAATTAACGAGCACGTCGACATAAAATTAACAAAAGTTAACATAAGTATTTGATTAGAAAAAAAATTGCAACTTAGTCTACTACAAAAACAAAAATTAAATAACACACACTTGATTAGAAAAAATTGACATGTTGATAAAAAATATATATAATTAACTCTTTTTTTAAAATATTTTATTTTTATTTTAATTTTTGGATAGAAATTTTCTAATTTCAATTTCAACAAATAAAAAATTTTAAAATGGGTACCAAGTTGGAAAAAAATGCTATAAAAATTGTACAAATTTTGGGTAAATATTATTAATGGGAATGAGGTCAATTATTATTCATATTTAAACACAATAAAAACAATACAAATAAACAATATTATAAAAATATAATCAAATCACTAAATAATTAATTGTATTGATTGTATGTGTATAATCGAACGCTACAAATACATTTTATGCAATTCCTAGTAAGGTTATTACTAAAATTTCAAAACCATATTTCAACATTAATTATAGGACTACAAGAATATTTATATATATAATTTATTCAACTCAAATATTTTACTTTCAATTTAAACAATATTATAAAAATATAAAATATAATAAAACTAGTCATAGTAACGGTTCTCGAACTGTCGATTAAGGTTTCACCAAAAGGTGAAACCTTAACCAAACCTTCTATAGACGGTTCCGGTTTTGGTTTGAAACCGTAAAACCGATGGTTCTAAACCGTTTAAAACCGACGGTTCAATGGTTTTTTTATTAAATGAAAAAAAAAATTGAACATTTTTTCTCAACATTAACATTGAAACGAAAAAACTTCTTTTTTGCATAATGTATAAATATTATAATATTTTTTACATTATAATGTATTTCACATAATAAATCAAAGGAAAAAATAAATAAATAAAGAAGGGCTTGAACTTAATTTTTGTAAACACTACAAAAATTAAGCTTCCTACGTATCCTCTTGGGGTTTAGAGGAATCAAAGCTTACGTAGTTCTCTTTTACATTTCAAATTACCCCTTTACAAATTACATCTATGTTCTACATAATTGCGCCTAGTTACTTTCTTGACCGAAAGTTCCGACTTCGAAGTTTCGTTGTTGTGCCTTCGGGTGTTAGATCCATACTTTCTTCATTAAAATCATATTGTTTTTGTTCTTGTGTTCTCTTGTCGGCTCTTATCCAATCATCCACGCATACTTGGGCTTCAGTGACTCGGGAGCCAATTGTGATTGCCTATCATCCAAAATATTACCTCCGGAGCTAAATGCTCTTTTAATGGTCATTGTTGAAGCCGACACAACAAGTATTTGTCTAGCTATTATAGACAGGATCTGGAAAGGTGCTCGCATGTCTTTTTCACCAATCAATTACTTCAAAATCTACACCTGCATTGCTATCACCAAACTTAAACACAATTGTTAGATAAATATCAAGCTCGAAGTGGAGCCTGATGATCCTTTTGGCCCTTTTGTCCTTTCCATGGCCATAAGATAACCTAGCTCTAACACGTTGGCTACTTGATGATGATTGTGGCACAGGTGGTAAAGAGGAACTAGCATATTGATTACCTATAGTTAAAGACATTTCAATATATAAATCTCTAACTCTGTTTTATAATAGAAGCAGTTTCTATTTCTACATTTTTATCAAATAATTACAAATACTCATAGTAAGTATTCAAAACGACGAGAAAGATAAATAGGTGGAATTGTTTCATAATAACTTAACCATTTTTGTTTCATTATTTGAACAACGAGCATGTAAAGTTAGCATATCTTGTTCTACATGATTAAAAGCTTCAACAATATTAATTGCTTCAATCATAAATAAATGTGAAGTTAGTTGATAAACGACACTAAAAATGTATGTTGCATTGTTAAAAACATTTAAAAGTTCCAAAAATGGTTCGTAAATATCAAAATCATTTTGAAAAATAAAAACGGAATTAATATTTTCTAAAAAAAATGAGCATAATAAATCTCGATATTCAAATGATCGCCTAAGTAAGTCGAAGTTGAATTCCAACGAGTTGGAACATCTTTTGAAAATCGTATTGGTTTTTTATTTCTTTTTTTGTAAAACTTTCCCCATGATTTCATCTTTTGGGGATGCGTCCATAAATATTTAGCAAGAGCTTTAATTGGCCTAACAATATCTTTAAGATATTCCAAACCAGATTGCACATATAAATTTAAAACATGACATACGCATCTAATATGGAAAAACTTACCTCTAAGATGGGGTTGACAAAGTTCTCTTAAAGACTCTATTGAAGCATCATTAGAACTAGCATTATCAAAAGAAATTGAAAATATTCTTAAAGGTAAAACATATTCATCTAAAATCCTTTTCAGTATTTTATATATATTTTGAGCGGTATGTTTATCATCAAAAACTCTATATGCAAGAAGACGTTTTTGCATGTGCCATTCATTATCAATCCAATGACAAGTTACACCCATAAAAGAGTGAGTTTGCCATTGATCGGATCATATATCGGAAAATATAGAAACACGACCATTCAAATTTATAAATAATACGGTTAATTGTCTTTTTTTAATCTCTATATAATTTTATAACTATTTTTTTTAAAGAATGTCTTTCAACTTGTTTGAAAGCAAGATTCAAAGCATTAGAACAATAATCACTAAAATCTATTTTTTGACCAAAACTAAAAGATAAATGATCAACACATATCATTTTAGCCATTTCTTTTTTATTTTTTTTATCGGTATATCGAAATAAAGAGGAAGATTGAGAAGCAAACCCGGATATTTGTGTCCGATATCTATCATTACCAAGTACGGATGGATGCTTTTTCTCCAAGTGGGTTTTGAATGTGTATTGCTTGTTGCGGTAGTTGCAAATCACGAGCAAAAACATCTTTTTCTAACGAAACTTTTGAGAAATGAATTTTGAAGATGTCGGATGATCTAGGTGTAAAATTTGATTGTTGTTATTGCTCCCCGCTTGATTTTGATTGGCGGTATTACTTTTTTGTGATGGCATATGTGAACTTGAACTTGTCATTTTTTGTAGTATAAAACAATAGAAATGTAAAAATTTAAGAAATATTTGAAGTATAAAAAATATTATAGGATAGTATTGAGAATTCTAGATTTAAGAGTTTAAGAGATTGAGAGAGAATGAGAGATTGAGTTGTGAGAAGAATGAAAAAAATTAAGAGTGAGAGGGTATTTATAGAAAAGAAAAGAAAAGAAAAGAAAAAAGAAAACGGTCACAAATGTTTGTGACCGTTTGTCACATACTCAATTTATATATATATATATATTAAGTCCAAAAATTAAAAATTATTAGGCTTAATTTTTTTTTCCGATCCAATAGCTACTCGTCCATCCCATATAAAATTGATTTTTTATTTAAATTTTTTTGCTTTTTTTCGACCCAATCCAAATTTATTAGGAAAAATGTGAAACCGCCGGTTCTATGGTTAACCGTTGGTTTAGAATCGTCGGTTTCGGTTTTATAATACTTTAAACCATAATCAACCCGTAGGTAGCCGGTTACGATCCAATTTGATCAAAATTACGATTTTAGTGATTTCGATTTAGTTTTTTAACGGTTTGGTTTCGGTTCAATTTATGGTTCAGACTGAACCGTTACCATGTCTAAATAAAACTATAAATAAGCGGATGATACGCGCACTCTGACTAGAAGAGGAATGCAAATAAATATTGGATAGCTAGGCATTGTCATTTTAAGCCATGCAGTGCATGTGCACGAGAGGGACAAGTAACCCAACGGTGCCTTAAAGAAATGTAGGTAGTGACATAACAAAGAGGTCATTCTCATAACATAGGAAAATGGCATGCATCAACCTTTAGCCCATAATATATTAATGTGATTATTGGTATAATGCTTCCCTAGAATTCTAGAAGCCAGTGTATTATTGGTTTTAATGCTTCCTGTGATGTGCCATGCATCTTACAACGCTATCTCTAGCCTCGTCTTGAGCAGGCTGCGTTAACTGTGTGGCCTGTTTGGTCTCTAGATGACATCTTCGTGATATGTCAATTACAACCCTTGTGTGTATTTGAGCTTCTACATGTTATTGATCTTTGTGAATTTAGATATGGTGTCATGCATGACTAAAGGGAAAGGTAGTATGTGCTCTTGAATTTCCTTTCCTTGAAAGCATGTTTCCTTCCAACCCTTAATCTCCTGGCGCATGTTAGTAGGGTCCCATTAACCATTACCTTGAAGATACTCTTCAAAAACCAACCACCACATGGAACAAAACGACCCCATGTTCCTATTCTTTCTCATTTTTCTCTTCTTTAGAGAAAAATCAACTAGTAGTACTATATTGCTAAGCTTGATATAAATAATTAGTAATTATGGTTTCCAGTCATTTTCTTTTGCAATAAATCCCATTAACACATTAGTGATCCCACATTTTATAATCATGAGATACCAATCTAATCTAGAACATCAATTTTTACATTAATTGTGCAACACAGTACACTCAATCCAAAATACGACCAGTTTCTTTAAGGTTTTCAAGCACTTTCGTTTCCAATCAAAAACCCCTTTTTAATTAACATAAACTCTACTCCATAATCATTGTATAATCATAGCAGAGCCAATCTAAACATTTAGCATTTTTTATAGCAAAATTAACTTGTTAAACAACTAACAAAAAAAAAAAAAAAAAAACATCACTACAACACGTACTACCACTAAGAATATCATATACCTTAAGTACGTCTAACATATTAAGCAGTATAACATCTAAGCATCTATGCCATATACTAATTAATCAACATACACTAGTTAAGCTGTATACATTTTGTATTATAAATGTCTGGCTTTTCTCCGCCATTTACTCTCTAAATATATATATCTTCTTGGTTCTTCTTCTTCCCTGGTCTCTCTCCGGCCCTAATGATCTTGCTTTTTTCTTTTTTCTTTTTTTTGCCTTTTTCTTTTTCTTTTCTTTTATTTGAATTGCTTTTTTGATATGTCATAATCTAAGGCACTAGTGAGTGGGTCAAAAACTGCTTTTGAGCCTCTAGAAACCATGATTTCTGAGGCAGTCCATAACCGAGCAGCTTCTGTTGTGTTGGATCCCAGTTTGGATGTTGAGGCTTCATTGCAATCCGAAAAGTACTTTCCAGTCACATTGCCTAGTCTTGGATGTGTTGCTACATAGCATGTTGTAGCAGCAGCCTACAATAACAACCCATTAACAATTTAATTTTTCCACTCATAAATTTACAGGTAGTCTAATTACTCTCAGACAGTATAAATTATATATGTTAGTTACCTGAGGAATTGTTTTCAAGAGCTTGGAAGTGAAGAAAAAGGCCATATCTGCAGTTTAGAAATGAAAACTTGGTAAATTTTTAAGAAGGGTAATTTTTTAAAAAATATATCTTAAGATAGAAAAATTAATCTTTTTTTTTTTTAATGGACCTGTGACTACGCCTTCTCGTTCTCTAGTAAGTCTAGTTCTTACAACTCCTGGATGAACACAATTGACGGTCACGTTGGCCTCCATTTGCTGCATTAATTGAGAATATGTTTATATATATAAATTAAAAAAAAAAGGCCAGAACAAAAAGAAAACAACAAATATCACTTTTTTCTCTGATCAGCTTTAAATTAAATTAAACTACTTAAATAGGACGATAAATGACAACCTGCAGTCTCTGAGCAAGCTCCTTGGTGTGCAAAACATTAGCGAGCTTCGAGAGAGCATATGCACGTGTAGGATCGAAGTCACTGTATATAGATCATGACCCAAAAAAAAAAAAAAAAAGGTCAACCAACATATGTGTATAATTTATAAATACTGGTTTTATGGTCATAATATGGTATTCTCGAGCCATTTTCTTTTCGAATTTAAGTTGATTTATTTGGTCCAGTCCGGTTAAGACAAGATATAATTAATATTTTTATTCATTATATATATATATATATATATATAGTTGGTTTTAGGGAGGGAAAAAAAAGTTTTGGTCTCTTACCGTAATTTGCTTCGGGATATTTCACCAAGATATCGGATCATATCGCCTGAAAACCAATTGAAAATACTCGATGAAACATTCACTATTCTGCCTTGAATCCCAGTTGTTTTTGCTGTTTCAATCATCTTCTTCAATAACAATTTTGTCAATAAAAAGTGTCCTGAAAAAGATTCCATCAAAGCCAAAATTTAAGTTCTTGTCATTAATATTTATTTTTCCTTTGCATAGTTTAATATATAATTAATTACCTAGATAATTAGTAGCAAAGGTCATCTCTATCCCATCTTCAGAGATTGCATGCTCGTGTGCAAACTTTCCAGCATTATTTCTGATTAGAAAAGGAAAAAAAACGAGAAAAAAAAAAACAGATTAAATCCAAGAAAGTAATACCAAAATTTTTATTGCTACTTTTCTTTATTTGCTCAGCAACCAAACAAGAAATAAAAGGAAAGAAATATTTATTTATCTTCTTACATGATGAGATTGAGAGGCAAGTTGAAGGACTCAAACTCTGAAACAAAGTTTCGAACAGAGTTGAGAGAGCTAAGATCAAGCCCCATAACGATGATCTCCGCGTCCGGATTCTCTGATAAAATCCTTGCCTTGGCATCTTCTGCTGCTTTCTGGCTCCTAGCCGGCAACACCAGTCTCGCACCTCTTTTCGCCAAAACTCTTGCCGTCTCCGCTCCTATCCCGGATGTGGCACCTACAAAAATAAGCACAAAAAACCATTTTTTTCACGATTCTGTACGCAAAATGTTAGAGATTTAAAGAGCTTCGCATCTATGGTTCCAAGCCTCTCATTTGTAATAATAATAAAAAATATATATATAAAAACTCACCAGTGATGATGGCCGTTATGGAATGCAGATCGCCGCAGTTTTCAGTTACTTGCTCGGCGGTGGACTTAGAGCCGTAGCTACTTGCTCCGGCTGAGCCGATGAGGTACTTCAAAGTTTCAAACATTTCTAAAACCTTCTTCTTCTTGTTTTTTTTTTTTTAACCTGTAACGGTATGGAGATGGCGTCGTTTAGTTTTGTTTCAGTTGACTCTATAACTAACTGATCACTTCGGTTGGTAAGAATGGAATCAAGTAACAAAAAAGCAAATAACGTGCTTGCTTTGCAGTTTTGTAGTTAATAGAGATTGGTACTAACAAAGAAAGGTCTTTTGTTTCTTTGTCAGATTTTGCAGCCTACGCCACTTTGCATTTACTTAAGAAAGAGATATTGGGTTATAGATTGGTAATAGTGTAATAAAGGGAGATAGCAAGAGAAGGGTTTTGGTTTGTGTTGTGGTTATGACCTAACCGGATCAAAACAGACGATTGGAGGGGATTTTATAGTGGCAGCACAGCAGTACTTGAGAGAGAGAAGAGAGGCAGAGGATTATGTATTTGTCATTAATTGATGATGGAGATCAATTTTTATTTTGCATGATTGAGGGTTTAGTGATTGTTAATTATTGGACCTAATCCAAAACTAAATCTAGTTTTTTTTTTTTTTTTTTTTTTTTTCAGATGGAGAGTACCGATTCTCTGTGTATTATATTTGGAAATAATAATAATAATCATAATAATAAGGCAACTTTTGAAATGTTACTGACGTGTTAAGAAATTTATGGTTAATGCACAATCCAAGTATATACGAACCAATTAGAAAGGAAAAAGAAAAAAGTAATGGGAAAAGTAGGGGTAATAGATCGGGAATTAATCGGTATTGTTGGTTGGAGAGCATACGCACAGTTTTTTTCATGGAAATTAATGATGTTGCCCCCGGCAATAAACAGTCAAAAAATTGAGTGATATGTTGCCTTGTTGTTGGGCAATGGCTAGAGGATGACGTTTTAGTGTTGGTGTGAGTAAGAAACACGGCTGTACGTAAATAGAGGGTTGCGTGAGCTATGAAATGTATGTTCCCTTGGACATTAATAAAACTAATTTCTTTTATCCGATGGAATAGAATATAAAATTATTTTAATTTAATATTTAATATTATATTATGTATATATTAATTAAAATTAAATAAAAATGTATTCAATTTTATAATTTTTTAGTCAAAATTTTGGATTTAATTGATTACTCTTTATATTTTTCATAAATTTTCAAAAACTTTATTTATTTATCTCTATCCACAAATTAAAAAAATTATAATATTATAAAAAATATCAAAATCAATGAATTTTTAACTGAAAACTTATTTTATAATTTGTTTTCTAAACATTTTTTTACCTTAAATTTAAAAAAAAATAGAAAAAAAAATCAAAATGAAACAAAAAAAATATTTACAAACTAAAAAAAATATTTAAAAAATAAGAAATAAAGTATAATGTTACGAAAACTTTTATAATAATATTTTTAAAATATTTAAAAACTATAAAAATACTACTGTACGAGTGAAAGAAATAATGCATTTGAGTATTGGTAAATAGTGTAAATGAGTCTGAATGAATAATATTTCAAATAGTATAATGAATAGTAATTAATTATTTTAATTTAATTTTTTTTATTAATGGTCGCCACACAATCTAAAAGATATTAGTATTATTATCCTTGTGAAAATATCACCTCCACAAATTTAGAAAATTATCTAAAAATTTAGCATGCAATCTGGGATAATTGGGAAAGTGGTCATGCAAGGCAGTGAACTACATAACAATATTGTTTTTATGTATGTCAAAAAACATAAAAACAAAAAGTCAAAATATACCATCCTTTATTAATGAAGTTGAGACTATTTTTTCTAAGAGAGAACTTCATAGTATAATTAGAATTGTGACTATTCACATATGTATCCAACTTGTTTTTTTATTTTAAGAAAAAACATGATAATTTTAGTGAAAAGAGCTCTAGTCGTTTAAATAAGTGATCTCGAATTCGAATTCTTATATATATAAAAAACTTTCTAGATAGGTTTTGTCTTGTGCATTCGATCGAATAACGAATGATTAATCCGGATCATTAAAACTAAAATACTTTGAAAGATCTAATATATATACAAACTCAAATACATATTCAACATGAAAAATAAATATACCGAAAGATATTAGAATTAGAATTCAATACCGAATCTATTATATAACAAAAGCATAAATAAAAGATATATATTAATTATAATTTAACTTCAAATTTAAGAATTTTTACTTGACTAAGTTCAAAGAGGTTAGGTGGATCTTGTTACTTAGAAATTGAAGTTTAAGTTTCACGGATTCTGATCCATTTGAATAATAACTAATCACATGATCTTAGGTATGTTTAAACCATGAAGCGAGGATTATCATACCCAGTAAAGCATGCACCACGTGCGTTGTACGCATCAAATGATTAGCCGACTAATTAGTCCTCTTCTGCTCTTGGACGAGGATATTAAATTTTGATTACACTATTAGTAATTAAATTTTAAATAAATAATCCTCAAACATCTTATTTAGAGGAGTTTATTATTTGCATTATCATTAAAATTTAAATATTATGATTTTTTTAATACAACAATTTGAATGTGAATCGCTTACTGAAACACACTTAGAAACCAATTTTGTGTTGATAGGAGAAAAAAAAAAGGAATTCCAGGACGCTTGACATTAAAACTAAAAATAACGTTTTTTTAAAAAAAAATTGAGGATTAATCTAGTTTTTAATGTCCAATTGTGATTGGAGGGAGAGCATTGTTTTGTTGATGCTGAAAACGAGTCGGCGATTAATTAAAGGAGACCAAAAATAAATAAATACTAAGTTTTGGCACGAAGGTGGAGGTGGAGACTGAATGGATAGTCAAAAGGGGATCGCACGTGAGGTGCAAAAGTTCTTCCAAAATTTTGCAGATCGGTCAATCCTACGGCCTCGAATCTAGCAATTCCTCGGGATGTAAAGTTACCAGGGGATTCATTCTTTTTTATTTATTTTGGACTTCACACTCTCTTCATCTTGGTCCCATTACTCGTAAAAACATCATTTATGCTCCGAAATCTCCCTTTTTTCTTGTTTTATTGTAAAGTTTTTTTTTCTTTTATATATCCGAGATAATTTGAAAAAGTTGGTTGCACGTTGAGTGAAATGAGATGAATTGTTTTGCTTTGGTCTTTTATTTTTTTTTATAGCCCACATTTGAATTAGAATTTGAAATACTAATATGGAATTCAATCCGGATTAATATCGGTTAGACAGTATTTCGCAGACCTTGATTTCTTTGTTTTGTAACTATATATATATAATTAAAAATTAACAACATTCCGATGGAATATACGCTTTCAGTTAGTATTTTGGCTAAAATTCTTTGACTCGTTGGTGCTCAACTAAATCTTTATTTTTTACAATTGAATTCTACATTTCTGATTGTTTCTTAAATATACTATATATCTACAAACCTTGATTGATGCATTCTTTATAAAATAATTTTCTAGCATTCATACACAAAACCAAAAAATAATAATATTAAAAATTAATTAATTTACAATGTGAGTCAATACCTCGAGAAAGTATTTTAATTGATTTCCAGTCAGAAAAATTATAGACATATTCTTGATCTATATTGGTCAAAGAACAATAGAAATCATTTTTATGGTGGATATAATAATGCCCTATACCATTGCTCCAAACCTACACTCTGAACTACAGATACGAGATTAAGATTATGATTAATAATGGGCAAAAGAGAAAATGATTTGTGAAGGGCACGTTTTCCTATTGTATTTATCAGCGTATAGTTTCAAGAAAAGGAGGTAGGACCTTCCGGAGCCAAAAGGCTTTTGATGTGAAGGAAGGAAAAGGGGAAACTTCAGCTTTTTAGAGCACTTGTACAGAACCCGTGCCCTCTGGCGGGGGCCCTATGACATCTTATTGCTTCCTCCACAACTCTTCATTTTATTAATGGAAGGTTTTTATTGGATCACCACGCTTGGTTTTGCCACGCCTCTCTCTTTAAAGTTGATCAAGCCACGTGTTCATGCATTTGTGTTGAAAAAACTTTCGATCTTTTTTTCCTTCTTCTAATGTTTGTCTGTAGTAAGATGATACTTTCATGTTAGATTTCACATTTCAATTTGGCATTTGGAGTATTTGATTCTCAATTGCATCGTAAAATAATTTATCACGTCACACGTTTCTCGTATGGGTCCTTTTCTTTAAACTCGTGACAACTTTTAATGAAAAAATGTCAATTCTTTTTTCTTTTTAAAACAACAACATTTTATCGCATAAAAATAACGGAAAAATATTAAACGACATGGGTTTGACGGAATTATTGATACTTCAGAAATTTAATATAGGAATTCAGCTGGTGAACTAGTTTAGGAACAATCGGAAGTTTTCAATTCATAAGTATTATCCATTAATTTTAGACATTTATAATTAAAAATGGCAATGAATATCTGCAGATTGGGTTTATAGCATGTCTATTCTCTATAGAATATTACTCTTCCATGAAAAAATTTGACTAATTTGACTATTCATATCGGATCTATCATATTTCTATTATCTAAATGCTATTTATTATTCAGCTTTATATAAATAGTAATTATATTTTAATTTGCCCATATTGAGATTTGAGGGATTTCTCAATTTTCTCGTGGGAATTTATTTGTATCAATTATTTTCTTAAACTTTCATCAAAATTTCAATTCTTTTCTTATATATATATATATATATATATATATATATATATATATATATATATATATATATATATATATATATATATAAACTATAAGTTATTTTATCAATAAATAAAATTTCTTACTTTAATTCTATATCTTGAATCTAAGGTATATCGGTTGGAAACCAATAACAAAACATTTGGGGACTCGTCCGATCCTATCGGGGGTTTAACCTTTCGTATAAGAATGTCACATACCTAAAGTCTCGTTTTAATTATTCATTTTATTATCCGCATATTAATGGTCGGCTCTGTCGCATTTAAACTCGCATTTTAGTGGCCGGTCCGCCGCCCAATTTTTAATTTACCTATTTTCAA